GCTTCACGGGATTCGTTTCCACGGTGCACAAAAGTGCCTCAAAAAAAAAAAAGTGCAAAAGTGGAAGGCGTGCGGAAGAGGGGGCGAGTATATAACAAACTATATTTTGAGTGGAAATGTTGGGGGGTCGTCTTATACGCCGGGTCGTCTTATACGCCGGCATATACGGTAATATAATAATAGGTCAAAATATGTCTTTTACTTTCTACTGCTGAATTGAAGTTGGGTTTTGTTTTGTTTTTTAGGTATGATCGACAGTGTCCTAACTCCAGATGATATTGACAGTGTTCTGACCAGACTAGTAGTGATAAATGCAGTATATTTTAAGGGATTATGGAGGTCCCGATTTCAACCTGAAAACACAAAAAAGCGAACTTTCAATGAAGGTGATGGAAAGACTTACCAAGTGCCTATGCTGGCTCAGTTGTCAGTATTCCGATGTGGTACGTTCAATAACATTTTAAAATTATGAAATTTACTCTCCTCTATAATTTTGTAGACTAAGATTAAGTAAAATATTTAATGGCATTGTGCAAATCATTTAGAAAAGAGTTTCACAAAGCTACCCAAGAAAGTGTTTCTCAGAAAGTCAAGGTAATCACATATCTTGAAACTTACATATCCATTTGGAGTCTTCTCTTATCTCCTCAGCATCTTTGAACATCATAAAGATACTGTCACTGGCTTTGTTATGAAACATGTATCCCCGACATCAATCCTAGTATACATTGTCATGAAACAATGGAGAAGCTTTTTCCAACTGCACAGTCGTTGACTATATACAAATAGGCAAAACTTTTGACTAAAATCATACTTTATTATAGTATATCATAGTAATACTGGTAGTCCGCAACTTACAATAGTTCATTTAGTGACTGTTTAAGGTTACAACGGCACTGAAAAAATTGACTTATGACCATTTTTCACACTTACAACCATTGCAGCATCCCTGTGGTAGTGATCAAGATTCAGACACTTGGTAACTGAGTCATATTTATGACGGTTGTTGTGTCCTAGGATCATATAATTACCTTTTGTGACCTTCTGATAAGCAAAGTCAATGGGGAAGTCAGATTCACTTAACAACCCTGTTACAACTGCAATGGTTCACTTAACAACTGTGGCAAGAAAGGTGGTAAATTCAGACAAAGTTCACTTAACAAATGTAACACTTAGCAACAGAAATTGTGGGCTTATTTGTAGTCATAAGTCAAATACTACCTGTAGTCTAATTCTGTAAATATCTGGGTTATTCCTGGTGATAGCTTTAGTTTCTGATCAAAAATTGGCCTTGATTAGCATAGTTGGTATGTTAGTCTGTGGTATTGAAAGCAATAAAACATTCTGACATTTAAAATATCCCAATTAAGTTCTGTTAGGCTTGAGTCAGGAAGATGATTTCCTCCTCCATTCCATTCTTAGATTACCACCTACATTTCATGTCCATTTGATCTTACTTCATGTCAAAATACAAAAACAGTCTTTGTACAAAAGTAGTATTTATATTGGCCCTCCCCATCCACATCTGTAGGCTGATTAAGAATAACACTACAACATTCCAATCCGTATGTGTTTTAAGGTAATTTTATTCACTTCCTGTTTTATAGGCACAACAAGCACTCCTAATGACTTGTGGTATAATACTATTGAATTGCCATATCATGGTGAAAGTATCAGCATGTTGATTGCTTTGCCTGCACAAAGTTCAACTCCCTTGTCTGCTATTATTCCTCACATTAGCACAAAAACTATACAGAGCTGGATGACAACTATGGTTCAAAAGAGAATACAGGTCATTTTGCCCAAGTATGTAATTTTTTTCTCATTTTAATAGAACAAATACAATTACTAGTTTTACAGCTAGTCTCATACATTTGATGTGGCTCCCCTAGGTTTACAGCAGAAGCAGAAACAGATTTAAAAGAACCTCTCAAGGAACTTGGTATTCGAGATATGTTTGATCATTCAAAGGCAAACTTTGCAAAAATAACAAGTGAGTTACAATCTATTGCTATTGTTTATGCCTTTAGGAATTACAGATAGAATAAATAGAATAGAATTGATGTTTTGACTTTATGTATATTATTCTTGAATATAAATTTGAAAAGGAAACCTGGGATGCTACATTATTTTCCAGCAAATAGATAACAGATAACAGATAATCAGAGTTGGAAGGGACCTTGTAAGTCATCTAGTCCAACCCCCTGCCCAAGCGGGAGACCCTACACTATCTCTGACAAATGGCAGTCCAATCTCTTCTTGAAAGTCTCAAGTGATGGTGCTCCCACAACTTCCGAGCGCAAGCTCTTCCATTGGTTGATTGTTCTCACTGTCAGAAAGTTTCTCCTTATTTCCAGATTAAATCTCTCCTTGTTCAGTTTCCATCCATTATTCCTTGTCTGGCATACAGGTGCTTTAGATCTCCATATGTTGAACCATAGCTTTCATTTTGATTGACTATTGGCTGTGCTGATTGGGTCTAGTGAGAATTATGGTTCAACAGTCTGAAGAACATTAGGCTACATTTGGTATGTCAGAGGTGCATGTTTTTCTATGTTATGTGTTTGATTTACATCAGTAATGTGAAAAATCTGATTTATAAATAGAGAAAATTAGCACACTGTGCTAGTTTATGTTCTCTTGAGACAAAAATTAGGCAACCCCATTTTATCCTAGTCCAGCCCTGAGATTTATTCATTTATTATTTATCTATCAAATTTATATAACCTCCCATCTCACCTATGGATGGTACATAATAATGTAATGATGAGGCAAAATATTGTTTCTCAACAGTGCATGAACCCATAAAGATGGATTGAATGAGCTATGGTTGGAAAGATGATGTTGGTTTCTGTTACATGCATGTATTTGTTTAATTTTGATTATGAAATTATGTCAAAATTGTAATTATGTAACATATTATGATAATTCTGAATGGTAATGGTAAATAGGAGCTGAAGAACTGCAATACCAGAATGTAGTATTGCAGGCTAACTCTGCCCACTGCCAGGAGTTTGATCCTCATAAAGGAAAATATTTATAGCTCAGGGTTGACATGCGAGATCTCTTTACTAGCACTGATGATGTTACCTGGTCTGGGTAATTAAGCATCTGCAAGAAAACAAGCAAGAAAAACAAGCAAGGACCCCTCAGTTCGATCCTGACCAGCTCAAGGTTGACTCAGCCTTCTATCCTTCCAATGTAGATAAAATGAGGAGACAGATTGTTGGGAACAATATACTGACTCTTCAAACTGTTTAGAGAGTACTGTAAAGCAGTGGTACTCGACCTTTCTGTGTCCGTGGACCAGTAGTGGTGGTGGTGGTCAGGTGGGCAGAATGGGATAACTTGCCACAGCCAACTCGCTGTGGCCAACTCACCATGGCCAACTCACTGCAGGACAATTTAACAATTCTATTTAATTATTTAAAATAAAAAAATATTTTAATTTTTGCAATTCACAATTAATTCTGTCTCTCACTTTCTTTAATGATTCTATTTCAATATTTCTTTGATATTAGTGTAACTCTTGTCCCGCAGTGAGTTGTTCTGCAGCAAGTTGGCAAGTTGGCTGCGGCGAGTTGGTCATGGCAACTTGGCCATGGCGAATTGTCATAGACCCTGGGGAGAGATGATTTTGTTTGTGCACCCGCCGCTCACGCAAATGGAACTTCATGTGCTAACTCACTGCTTGCATGTCACTTTGCACCTAGATTAACAAGATATTTAGAAATACCTTTTAAGTAATTGGACTATTAGCTATGAAAGTTATATGGCTCACAGAAACATAAGATTAGTGTATCTTAAAGTTTACATTGTTCAGGGTGTGTATATATGGTACTTATTTTTTTAAAAAAATATGCTGATTTGCATTGGTTTTCCTTTTATAAAAGAATAAAAAAATAAAGCTTGTGTATGAAATAATTTTGAAAAAAATAATTCATTCTGCCTGGAACTTGGAACCATTCATGCAGACTTTTGGAGTGTTTCAATAAACAAATATAGTAAGTGGTTAATACCTCTTGATCACTTTTGCGTGTAATTGCTTTGTCTTGCCCTACAATAAATGTTTTAATTTGTACTGATTCATATGACATGAATATCATCATTGGAACTTTTTATTAGATTAGAAGATAACAGTATCTGTAATAAATAAAATCAGAACCACGTGTGAAATATTTTGATATGAATGGAAATCACATGTATGGAATCAGATTTTCATTAACTTTTGTTGCTCTGAGTTTTCTTTAATTGAAAATGAAATTTCATTCATACATGTATGTTATGGTTGACCCCATAGGATCAGAAAACATTCATGTATCTCAGCTCTTGCAAAAAGCAAAAATTGAAGTAAGTGAAGATGGAACCAAAGCTTCTGCAGCAACAAGTAAGTATTTGTTTGATTTAAAACACCAAAAAGTTTTACAAATACTGAAATAACATTAAGAAGCTATATTTTAATCCATTCCAAAAGCTCCCCTCACTTTTTTAAAAGCCTGGTGAATTTATTCTTATATAAGACAAAAAATTAATAAAGAGGCATTTGGAATTTGTCCTGAACATTGTAACATAGAATATTATTTCCTAACTATTACAATCGGACCAAAATACAGTTTAAGGATTCCATGTTAATTCTGCCAAGAAGAAATTTTGCTGGATCCTGACCAACAGTCCTGATTTAAACTATTCTCTACAGAGCTCTAATATAACCATGCATGCAGATCTGAGCACTAGAATACAGTAATTTAAAACTTAATACCGGGGTGGGATTCAAATTTTTTAACAACCGGTTCTGTGGCCGTGGCTTAGGTGGTGGGCATGGCTTGGTGGTCATGTTATTGGCTGGGTGTGGCCAACTCAATATCATTGAGTTGAAGCACACATCTCTTCCCCTGGCCTCTCATGACTGTGGGGATGCTGCAACAGTTGTAAGTGTGAAAAATGGTCATAAGACACTTTTTTCAGTGCCATTGTAACTTTGAATGGTCACTCCACACAAGCAAAGTACCAGAAAAGGAGGGGGGAAAAGCTCCAGAGACGTTCCAGAGACAGGAAGTCTAGTCCTGCCAAGAATGTAATAAGGGTTAATGGAGAGGCAGTTTCTGTAAGCAACACCAGAATGTTTCCTTCCTGCCTTCCTTACAGGATTAGGCCAGTAATTTCTTCTAACAACTGGTTCTTTGAACTGCTTAGAATGTTAACAACCGGTTCTAGCGAATAGGTGCAAGCTGGTAGAATCCCACCCCTGCTTAATACTGTATTTCATACTATCTCTACTTGTAATACTTTTTCAAGTATTGGTGTATATTGATTTAGAAAATATTTTATTGTCTAACTTGGCACAGGTAACTTAATTATATGTACAAATAAAATAGCTGGTATATTGTACTGAAATCTTAAATGTTACATATTTGCTTCATACTTACAAAAACATTGGTTGCACTTACAATATAATCTTTTTTAAATATGCATTCTTAAAAGATCTGTATTCAGTATCAAAAGTATGTATGACACTATCCTGTTTTTCCTGTTAAAATTTTCATGTTCTTCTTAGAGCCTTTTGGAATACATGAATTTTATCCATTTATAATTAAATATTGATATTTGAATTTGAATACGGCTCTTAGAACCTTGTACAAAATTAAACAAAGGTGACTGGCGGGGGGAAAAACTGTTTTTGCTAAAACTAGACCATTTGCATTATTCTTTTTGTTGTTTTTCTTCCATGATAGAAAGTTGCACATTTTAAAGATCTGTTTTAACTGAGAAAAAAATAATTTATTTTTTAAAAAGCATTTTTCCAACTCATAGAATGTTTTTATCTAACTTGTAAAAAGATAAGTTAATTTCATATGGTAGTGATTCCGAGAAGGGAACACGTAATCATTCAAGTTTTTGTTCTGTTTTGTCTAGCTGCAATTGTAACAGCTCGGTCATCACCTCCTTGGTTTGTAGTGGATCGACCATTTTTATTCTTCATACGGCACAACCCTACAGGTAATTCTATGTCACACTTTTTAATATATTAACTAAATTCAGACAGCATTCCTCCATAGACCTGCAGCTCAAAAACATTTCAGACTTGCTTCCGTGTCTTTCAAAATAAGGTTCCCAAACTCTTTCTACTTTATTGTTAATAAGAAATGTCTTTTCTTGACAGCAACATAGTAATCTGCAGCTGTGCAGGATTTAAACACTTAGGAATTGTTGCCAGGAACAAGCAGATTCTGTGTTTCATTAGTGTATTTCTTAGCTAATCTACATATTATGATGCATGCTTTGAAATAAAATGCCAACTCTTTGGAAGAGCTGAGTTCTGGCATCAGTTCCTAGATATGGGCAGCTTAGGACATCAAAGGCACATTATGCAACTCTGAAGATGCACAGTGGCCAATTGTCAGCTACACATCTCAGAGCTTTGATCCATTTCTCATTGATATTCTAAACTAAACATAAGCCAGTTGCTAGGGAAGCCACTGTTTTCTCCTCCAAATATGACCCTGAAGGGGATTCAAATGATGGTACATGTTAACAACCACAAAAAAAATACATTTAGTGTTTTATCATTTTTTTCTTCCCCTCTACCACAAACTCACATACAGTAAAGACCCAAAAAATTAAATCTGCTTTGATGTAATATTTTAATTATATGATTAGACATATTTAAGAAAATACTGTATTTATTCAATGATGACAGAAAATTTGTGAACTCTTTAGTGCTACCCATAAACTGCAATAATCAAAGCAACAAATGTACACTGAATATGGTATTTAATTTCATTGTACGAGGTACAGTGACAATAAACTAAACTAAAACTAAACTAAATTTCATTTTAATCCTCTTAATAGATATAGATTTAAGTTAAACAAGCAATACAAAAAAAACTGGAGTGTAATGTCTAAATTGAATGCACTAAGCCAATATCCAGTGTCTTTGTTGAAAAAAGTATATGATTTAGTTGCCCTTGTCAAAGTAAATGAGAACCACTCTGAGACCAACATATGTCCAACAACCACTTTACACAAAGTTAAACCATGGTTGTTGGACATATCAGTTTCGCTCTATTGGTTTCACAAGTTCTTTGTGATGTAGTGCTTTTAAGTGGCTAATCATAAAAGCTCTTGGATCTCTATATCACACACATATACTCACATATGTGTGTGTGTGTGAGAGAGAGAGAGAGAGAGAGAGAATAGAGGAATTAGAAATTAATTGTGGTTCTTTGTACAGGTCCACTCTAGTACATATTTTCTGTCTTGTTGCCTTGCTTCTACCTTGGAGAAAATTACTTTCCTCCTGTTCGTTCTGTCCTTAAGACCTGTCTGTTTCTTAATATTACCTTTGCATAATAAAGACAAATAGAACAATACTGTTTAAAAGTGTAAGATAAAAGTTAATTATCCTTATTGGAATTACCATTATCAGGATATCAAAGATGAGTTTTCAATGCTTTCAGTTCTTGTTCATTCCTGTTTATTTATCACCAGTATATTCAGTTCTCGTTAATGTGCGATGTCCAAGTTTTAACAAGTCCTTAATAAATCTGCAAGGTTTATTTATTAGGAAATTATTGTGACATGTAATTTGCCAGCAGGAAGGAAAGACCATGAAGCATTAAGAATGTGTTTACAAAGTAGCATCATAGTACAGTTTAAAGAACGAAAGCAAAAGAGACAAAACACTAAAAACTCGGATAGTAAGTAAGTGATAGCAAGATAACCAGTTGGCCATATTACCACCCACAAAACACCATACATTTGGGAAGCAAAGATACAAATAAGGTTATAATATAATGAGAGGGTAGTCACATGCCTGGAGCGTAGCTGTGATAAGACTGATTTTGCGCCATTAAGTCAGCTTCAGCTCCCAGTAACCACGTAGATTTTTCCGATGATAGTCGGTCACTAACATGGTCCCACAAGTACAACAGAACAACGTTTAGTTTATCGTACAAAACTAAACTAGTTTTTATCTCTTCAAATCTATGCTTCTGCATAGTGTCTAGATTTTGCTCTTGAATGTTTCTCTCTTCATTAACAGTCTTTTTTTTTTTTCTTGTTCTAACAACTCCAACAGAGTTGTTGTTGTGGGAAAATAGGAGGAAGGTGTGTTGGTGAATATGCTTTGAATTATTTGTAAAAAGAATAAAGGTGGGATATATAAATAAATAAATAATAAAGTCAAATTCGAGAAATATATTCCTGCAGTATTAGCATAAATGAGATATTTGAGCATTCTTAATCTCAGCTGTATTCTGATATATTTAAAATACTTATTGAAATATATTGGTTTTAGACAAATATTGATGAGATTTTTTCAGCAACTAACATAATAAATCTAAACATTAAAAAGATATTTAAGCCCTCAAGTAATTTATTAAAAACATCTAAACCTAGTAAGATATTTATGCAAATATTTATGAGAAATAAAAGATTCATTTGTCAGCTATTTTCTTAATGGTCTTATTTTTTCCCATGGTGAGCAGACACAAAATTTTAATGAACTTCCATGCCCTTACAGAATATTTAGAAAAATATGTCCCTGATTTTGACATAAGCAAAATTAAAAGTCATTAAAAATAGACTCTTATTGGGATATTTGTTTTAAATAAATTGTTTATTGAATTAAAAATATTTTACATGGTTTAAGGATTTTTAATGAAATAAACTTAATAACGGATTGAAGTATTACAATATTATAAGCATTACAGGCCTGTGGTGGTGCAGTGGTTAGAAGAATGCAGTATTGCAAGCTAACTCACTGCTCACTCCAGGAGTTCGATTCTAAGTGATTCAAGGTTGACTCAGCCTTCCATCCTTTCAAGGTTGGTAAAATGAGCATCCAGATTGTTGGGACAATATGTCAACTCTGTAAACAGCTTAGAGAGGGCTGAAAAGCACTATGAACCAGTATATAAGTCTATTGCTATTGCTATTTGAATCAAACCATAACATTTGAAACACTATGGAGATTTATGAGAATGTAACTGCTAACTGCTATCTAGTAGTTATATATCAATCAGTAACTTTAGAAATTGCTGTTTAGATGAACACTTTTGTCTTGAGATTTTGTATTTGTGAATTGATACAATTTCTGCAATAACATTTCTTGTTCAGGTGCTGTTTTGTTTATGGGACAAATCACCAAACCTTGAGTACAGGAAGAGATTCTTTCCTTCTGAAGAAAACTAAAGATTGATGCCTTTGTACTGTTTAAATATTTTTGTACCCTGTTTTTCAGCTATGTACTAGCTTTGGGAATGTTGGTCATCTAGTTTTTGAAAAAGAACCTTAAGTAGCTGGAATTCTTTATGGAAGAATAAAATGCCTTTTTTTGAAAACATTGTAAAGTTCCTTAAAACTACTGATTAGCTCTCTATGCTAACAACTTTTGAAAATTCGTTGTTCTATTTCATATTGTCTTTAAACCCAGTTGAAATTAAAGGGACAAGTCTGATTTTGGTTTGGGTTGGATTTGCTTATGCCTTTCTATTACTACAATTGGATGAGGCATTTGCTATTAGAAAGCAACTGAAAGCTTTAGCATTTTATTTTAGATTGTGCATGTTGCTGAGATTTAAACAACTAATGACCCAATTAATGCCTTTGCATTGGTGTAATGTAAACTTGTCATTGCTAGTATACACTTTCTATAGATTTAAATTTTATATTTTTTGTACAAAGGAAAATAAAATCATAACGAACAGTTCAAAAGTCAAAGTGCAAGAGTCAAAGTGATATTGAAGGGAAATGATTACTCACAATTCAGAAAGTTGAAAGTAAACTGTTACTAACATGAAATTTCCATGTGATAAAATAATTCTGTAAGGATGATCTGCACTTTGGAATACTTCTGTTAAGTAAATTTTCAAAATGTTCCATTCTGTCTGTATGTTAGTAATTTATTATATACAGTAAGGGTGTGATGGCTCAGTGATCAAAGACACTGAAATTGTTAGCTGGAAAGCTGACATCCCAAGTTCAAGCTTCTAGTGCCGCACAACAAAGTGAGCTCCTTTTCTGGTCCCAGCTCCTGCCCACCTAGTGGTTTGAAAGCATGCAAGTGTGAGTAGATTAATAGGTACCACCTCAATAGGAAGGTAACATTCCATGCACCTGTATATATAGCCATGCTGGCCACATAACCATGGAAAATGTCTTCAGACAACACTGGTTCCTTTGGCCAAGAAATGGAAATGAATACCATGCCCTAGAGTCAGACACAACCTTTACCTTTTTTATTTGGAGGAATAATGTCAACTATATTCCTGAAATATTTGTAAGCTACAAATATTTTAAACCAATATCTTCAGATGTAGGAGAAACTATACATTATTGAAATAGCCCTAACATTGTTTTAAAAATGTTAAAATTATTTCTCCCAACAATATAATTACCCTAGGTAAAGCTGTTTTTTTCTTATGTCCTGAAAGAAGTTTGAAACTTTTTCATCTATTGGAAAGTATTTTAATTGTTCCAAATAATATGTGCTTTGAATGTCCTTCAGATATGTTCCTCTTAAAGATAATTTTGGTACATTTCAATGGAAGATTTTTGTAACAGCGTCCACATGGATATGAAGCATATTTTTCTGTGTCAGGCATAAATACTCCAGACGGCTGGATTTGGAAAAAATGTTATATATAATCATGGACATCAGTATTGGTTGTTAAATCAATTGGTTTTTCCAAAATCTATTCTATTCAACCCTGGGATTTTCCAGGAACTTGATTGGAAAAAAAATGAATTAAAAAAAATCACATCTTGCCAATTTTCTACTACTAGAGCTTAATAACAGGTTCTATTGCCTAAAAACATTTGAAAAACTCCTGTGTTAAATTGTTGTGTTTTATCTGTAACATAAAAAAATGTATGTTCAGTGTAACTTTATTTTATTTAACAATATTTGTATATTACTCTATTGCAAGTCTAAATGATTCACAATAATTGAACAGATCATAAAACTACTGTTACGTTAAAATTACCAAATACAAAAAAAATCTATATAATCACCATAGACCAAATGTAGCAGCTACACTTCTTATGAAAGTATTCTCTAGAGACCCAAGAAAAATACTGCAATACTTTTCATCTCTTTTGGAATACAAGGAAAGGACAATCCCAATCTGGAAAGATGTTTTCATAGGGCCACAGCAACCAAGGGAAAGGTCAGCCCACAATTCTAAACCATCTGGGGAGAGAGAATTACGCAGGGTAGGATAATTCTACTTTGAGGAGCCAAACCTGTAGAAATCTGGATCTTCAGATGTAGAGCTGCTGGTACAGATTACCATATGCTTGTTTACATAAAGTACTTATTATGTTTTGGATGATCTTTATTGGTCTTATTGCTGCTTCACACTTTTCCTAATACTCATTAAACAGAAGCTAGATCAGAAGTCATACAAATTTATTAACGAATTATGACACGATAAAGAATTAGATAATTACTTTCAAGCTTTTTCTTGACCTTATTTTATGTCTATGTTGAGTGTAGGAATTGGTATAGTTTATTTATTCGTTGGGGTGAGGTTTGGAAATAAAAATATTTGTGGAATGGAACCTGGAAACCAAATATTGTCTGCTACATTATAATTGCTGAAACAATTCCAAAACAATTTGAAAATAAGTGAGAGTTGTACATAACAGTTAAAATTTATTTGGTTAGAAAACTATTTCTACAAACACACAGAAGAGTTTTATTCATTTGAGAACAAACTACAACTTGAGTTGCAGAATATTTGTTTTGGAAGACTCAGTATTGTTATTCATGGTAATTGTGAAAATGTACTAGTCTGCTTTTGGATATTCTGAATTGCTTGCATATCTTTGCCAATGAATCTTACCAGGGGTCCATGTTTGTTCTATGTTATATAAAAATGTGAAAAAAGAACACCAAAGTTTGGTGCTTTTTTCAAGTGTGCAAAAATAGAGGATGTCTAGAAAAAAGTAATATCTTGTAGTACATGCTGCTAAACCAGTTTGTAGCCTTGGAATTGAAAATGGAAACCAAGTCAATGAGAGATAAAACTATTTTGATCATTCAGCTGATTGAGGACATGATGAAAACCTGGGATGGTTTTGGATCTTTGTGATCCACATCCCTACTGGAGCCAGAGAATGGTATGCCCATTCTCTGGTTCTCTTCATACATTTTCTCCTTTTTCTTGGAATTGTAAACAATCACTGGAGACTGGCAATGGGTAATTTTTGATATTTTTTCCTCTATGTAGTCTCACCATCAAAGAAGGAATCTTATCAAGGTCAAAGACCATAACATTTTATGGTTAAATATCTATAGCTCCAAAGCTATTAGTTTCATTTTGCAGACTGAGAAAGAAATACTGAATTTGTTGCCTAATTAAATATGAGGTTTTTAAAGACAAATCTTGACAAATAGCAGCATTCTAGCAACTGCATCTCAAGAATTTCTACTAGCATTAGCTCCTTAAGTTATCTTTTTTTTTTTTCATAATGATTCTTAGGAGAATTTAAAGTTGAGTTTGCTTTAATCTTGAACAATTAACTGGACAAGTTCTAAAAACAGAAATATATCAAATCTCCACTCAGTCAATTCAGCCATCAGCAGACTCACAGAAATAAACATCTATATAACATTCAAATGAGATGATCAAAAGCAAAACAAAAACCCTAAACACCTCACCAGCCATCAACAACCATATGATCAGAGATTAATGCCAAATTAACACTAGACCAACAATCAAGGAGCAAACAATACCCCAATTAAGAAACTATCAACCCAGACAAACAAGCTAACAGTAAACAACAGTAATCAAGGAACCACTAACTCCACTTCCACCAATTATAAGGGAAGCCATTAGTATATAACATGAGACCAAATCCTACTTCCTTACTAGCACTGATGATATTACCAAGTTTCGTAATGAAACATCTACAAGAAAACAACCAAGTTAAAAGACAACCAAGGACTCCATAAAAATGTATCTAGTAATAAAATTGGTCAAAAAGATTTTATATGCCATTTCATTATTCCAATAAGACCAATTACATTCTCTTAAAAAATAGGGCAACAGTTTGTTAATTAATGCTTACATTTTATAAAATCCTTTCAATTGTTTCTCCTAATAATTTACAGTATTTGTATTTAACAGAAGCTACTTAAGTGGTATGACTTATCAGTATCAAGGACATTAATTTACAATGTGGTATTCCAAAATCATCCATTTTTATTTATTTTTATTGCTTTTAATTAATAACAAAAAGTGCTTTAATAAAAAAAAAGTCTGACATGCTTCTTTTACTATTTTTAATAAAACTATCTTTTTATTGCATGTGTTTGAAAACTATTATCTTCTGCTTATAGCTTTAAAATGCATTCCTTCAATAAGGCACAACTGTCTATCGTTTGAATAACTTTTTTTCATATAGTAAAGCCAAAATACAGTTTCAGCACCATCTTGTGGACAGATCACTACTCTAACAATGCAAAGAAATTTACGTTACAGATATATTGTCATTTCTACTCCAGGTAATACTCGATTTACAACCATTTGTTTAGTGACTATTCAAAGTTACAATGGCCACTGAAAAAAGTGACTTATGACATTTTTCCTAACTACAATTGTTGTAGCATCTCCATGCACCAAAATTCAGATGCTTGGCAACTGCTTCATGCTAATGACAGTTGCATATCCCGAGGTTATCTGATCACCTTTTGCAACCTTCTGACAAGCTGTGTCAATGGAGAAGCCAGATTCACTTAACTATGTTACTAACTTCACAACTGCAGCAATTCACTTAGCAACCATAGCAAGAAAGATCATAAAATGGGGCATAATTCATTTGACAACTATCTCACTTAGGAACAGAAATTTGAGGACTACCTGCACTGAATTAATTGCACATCATTACAAATAATTACAAAAATTAGAGAAAAAACAGTTGATGTCTTTATAAAAACATTAAGTTTATTTGCTTTATCTGAGCTTGCTAGAATAGAGGGGAAAACTTATCACTTAAATATTGTATCTGGTACTAAATGCTATGATTTAAGCACAAGTATTCTGACTGAAACAGTGGCAAACACGATAATTGGAAACTAGAAGAAAAGACTATGTTTTATCTCTTTTCAAATATTTGAACAGCTCTCTCAAAGATAAAACACCTCTCTCCCAGAAGTAAATAAATACAATCAAAAGAAAAGAGAATTTGATTAAGGAGAGTAAATAAATTGTCTCATTTCACAAGCAAACAAGGAATGTGCATCTATTCGTGATGTTGTTATGGATCACTTGTGTTGGTAATGGCTGGCATTAGTAATGCTAGGTGTAACTATCTTGCTAAAGTAAACATGGCCGTGATGAGTTGAAGACTCCTTGGGAACCTGCTGTACATTGCCTTGAGTTTCTCTCATTGTTATCTTATTTCCACCACCTGAAAAAACTACACAGCTAACCTTTCCCTTGGACTAAAAAAAAATATTTGTTATACAATAACAATTACTACACAAAATAGTCTCTCGGGAAAATATTGGTTGAAAAAATAAAGGCCAATATATGTGTCTCAGGATAATATTGCTTCTCTTTATGCAGACTTTTCTTCTACTACTTTTTGGGGGCTAGATTTTTAAATGACATTTTTCCCCCCCTGAAAGGGCTTGAGGGAAGTTCTACTGTGTAAATTTCCTTGGGAGAACTAGGTTCGGCTCAGTGGCCTTTCTGCTCTTAGTTGACTCAGTAAATGTGAGAAGGGCTTGTCTTGTAACTTCAAAGGCATATATTATTTTGTCCGCCCATTAAGGGGTGAAATTCAATTTTTTCCCCAACCAGCTGTGGGCATGGCTTGGTATAATAGTAATAGCAACCAGGGATGATTTTTTACCGATTCAAATCGTCCCTACCACCTCTCCCAAGCCGGGCCGAGGTGGTTGAATTTCACCCCTGCACTCATTCTACAATAAAACTTTTGATGAAATCATACCCTCTTTCCCTACTTAAATATGAATGTAATTGCCAGTCGGCAAAAAAAAAAATATTTTCCCCATCTCATAATAGGCTCAGTTTCACACATTGTTCAGCAGTTTCCTTTCCCAAGTGCAGTTCTTCAACTCCCAACTGCTTTGCAAGATAAATAAAAAGTTTTGACAGCACAATTTTAAAAAATGTATACCTAATGATGATTTTCATTAAATGCCCATGTTACATGAAAGTGCACCAACAGAAATACAATAAAGTTTCATTGATTCAAATTCATCATATTTGAATTATGGTGATTTGGAAAAGTTCTCAGGAAAAGTTTAACAATATATCTGTTGTTTAAATGTCTAAACATCTTGAGTATGCATTTTTTAAAAAGCATAAATGAGTCTTGACAATCAGGTCTCTTATTAGGAGAAAACAATTTTGAAACTTTTTTAAAGATTTGTTCACATTAAAGATTTGCTTATAATGTATGATTAAAATACAGAACATAGGGCTCACATACACCAATAGAGGTTTATTTATTATTTCAATTTCAAGGATACCTAACTCTCTGGTGACTCTGAGCAGATGACAGATAAAAAAATTAATACTATCAGTAGGGGGAAAAAAAGATATTCAATAGAAACTCAAACCATTAAAGCCAAACAGGCCAATAACCCTCAGGGCCTGGGGAAACAATAGGATCTAATACTATTTATAAAAGACCACAATTCGGAGGCAGGGGGAGGGAGGGTATGGATATCATTACAAAGGACTAGAAGTTTTTCAGAG